CCCCCCCTCCCGATTTTTTTCACTTTGATGTTCCTTCCCCCCTATTGAAGCCTGAAGTCAACTAAAGAGCTAATAATAACTATCAAAACGCCTGTCATTTGTTATAAATGAATAAATAAATAAAAACGTTTTCACAAACAATGTCCATTACAAAAAATATTAACTCACCCGTATTTTTTGTGGATAATTCTGACTTTCATCCCCTTCCTCGGCCATTGACACAAGAAGTTTAAATGTGTTCTACAAAAAGCAAGTTAGGTATTTTCGTTGCTATATACAGATTTATGACTTTTATTGAATTAAAAAACACATATATTAATAGAGTAAATCTCTTAAAGTTCTTCATACACCCCTACTAATAGGAGATCAGTGATATAGCAATCACGATATAGTTATGAATAACGAGATTAGATCAGTTATTTTTTCATTTTTTTCGCTTGCGTTATTTTTAGATCAGTAAATGTAACAACGGAATAGAATTATTTTACTCCATTAATCGAGAATTTTTTGTCAAAGTGAACTGTTCTTGGTTGACCTGGCAAGAATTCAAATTCAATATGCAAAATGCATTGAAATAAGTGCAGAGAAATTTACTTTATTTACTATTATACGAATCGAAAACGACACCCAGTTATAAAAGATAAATCTTAAGCAGAGTAGACTCTTATCCAAATTACTTAAATGGATAAATTAATTAAAAAGTTTCGAAATTATTTTCTTTTATTCGATAATATTTTACTTATATGAAATTTTATATTTTGTTGTTTTAAATATCAAAGTTGACCGAAAAATACAGTATTACCTGTTTTACAGTTTGCTTCGCGCTCCTTAGTCGATGGGTCTGTCTGTTTCTAAACCTGACATTAAAGCCATTTTGTTTTCACCACTATTTATTTCTCGAATTGTCTCTATCGTATGTTCATTTTTATCCAAAATACTATCTGTTTAGATTTTTGCAATTATAATAATTGCCTGCATTGATCGTGATGGCTACTTTGTTGGCAAGTGCGTCTTTAATAGTAAAGGTTCCGCTTGTGGATTTGCTTTGACTGTTGCTAGCTTTGGGTTCATATTCTGCCTGGTGTATATTGTCCTAGATATCCTGTTTCTTGGAATACCGCAATCTTACCAAAGATTTATTGTTATATTTGATCTTGGATTTGATTGTATGTGCTTGCATCTATTTTTCATATTCACTACATGTCATTTGTAGGTTTCTGGACATTTATATTTTTCGTGCTCTTTTGCTATATGGCTAATCATTGGCAGTTTTCAGATGAAAAACCTGAAATCTTGGAGTTGCTTAATTTAAATAATGTTCGTGCTTCGATTGCTTTCGCTTTCTTTTCGATATTCTCTTGGGTGAGTTTTATGCACTTTCGTAATTTATTCTTTTGATAATCGGTTGATATTTTATTCACTTGATTTTTTGAATTGCTAGGTTAATTATACATTGATCAATTTGGAATCATTATTATTGTTCTCAAATTTAAAAAGAAATGGTCAAATTCTATACTCTGAGAATTACCTTCTTTATTATTATTGATTAATCTGTTTTTTCATACTTATTATTGCGTATGGTTGCGTTGTTATCATACTGTGTGCGTTTGTGTGTGTGTGCTCTAGCTTATGCTAATTCAAGAAATGAGTCAGTCCTCAAAATTAATATTTGAGTTTTTAATAACGAAACTTTGATTAAATATGTGTTTGCTTCTTTAAATTTCTTTATGTAGAACTAATGTTATTCTCCTTGTATAATATAACTATTATTATTCTTTCAAATAGCAGGATTTACGATATTTATCACCAGCCTCTTAATTTACTTCGGCTTTCACAAGGAGGGGGGGGGGGGGGGAGAAGGAACATATATAGGATAATTAACAGTAGTTCACTTTTGATTTCTGGCTTCCCAATATATCTGGGTTTCTGTTGTCTTTGGGGCTGGGCCCCGAATCAGGTGGGTCTTCTCCATGTTGATTAAGCGTTTACTCTTATTTAGTGTAGGTGCTTCGCCGGGCAATCGTGTTCGGTACGCAATCTAAACTCTGCAACGGTTTCGATTCTTGTCCAGTCGGCTATACTAGAGTGCTACTTTCCTAGAGAAGATCATGTCGCTGCTTCCACGCACTGATCGCCCATACAGGGACTCGAAGTCTAGACCGTCAGATCAAGTCTGATGCCCTACCGATTGAGCTCTCCTGGCTCCAAACTTGTATAATACTAATAGGCAAATATTACTTTTGCAGCTCTAATTTGTCGTTTCGGGTAATTTTTATGTTTCGTCTTGGAGCCTTGGTAGAAGTAACAAAAAATTACCAATAAGCTATTCATTTACCAGCAGTTTGTAATTACCTTGCACTTTAATGATGGAGGTTCATCACCATTCTAGTTCGTTTCTTTTTTAGCTGCTTTGTTTTTACATTCGACAACTAACATATATCCTTTATGTATTTATCATTCTTCTGTTCTCGTATCATGCCTAGATTTAAGAACTTTTTAAGTACTTTTGAAACCTGGTGACTTATAAAGTGGCCTTAAACTTCATATGTCAGGTTTTACTCATATTTAATGGAAACCAAAACTTTTCATTATAGTTTGGCGTTCATTCTTAACTTTTAATTTACAGGAATTATTTGTGTTGCAGAGATTACTGCTTTCAAAATTTAATATTACCTGCTACAATTATGGAGCTAAGGCAATCAACCATTCTTTAAACTCGTGTGACTTTAGTTGTTAGTTGACTTCTGTCATCACGTAAGGTTTGCGTGGTGAAATGTGACCATAAAGCCATATGAGAAATCAAATCTGCAATTTCCCTGAAAATTTCATTCTAATAAATTTGAACTTTCCATGTATCTACTAGATTGTGGGGTACGCTTCATGCTGATCACTTAATAGTAATGATCGCTATTGAAGACTTCCTAATTGTTTCCCTCTGAGCTTTTATTGTTTTTTACACGAACTCGCTGAACCACTAACTCTCTCGTGTTATAGATTTGCTCATTTTGAAATTATGATATTTTGGTGTACGTTTTTTTTATTTTCTCCGAACGAATGACAAATTGATTCCTTAGTGGAACCTAGCCCTTTTCCAAAATCCGCCTTCACTTCGATTAAGTCGCATTGTTCTGAGTGTCGTATTCTTTGTTATCGTAATAGTCGTTTTCTGTCCAAAATGTAAATACGCAGAATAAGAAATTTTTCAGCATAAATAAATTATATTTTCGTTCTTTTATCACAGACAAAAGAAATACTATGTTTAGCAGATGATTCTCTTAATGAAAGAATGCGATTTTTCTTGCCTTACGGTTTGTTCTTTTTAGGGAGCTATGAGTTATACAGCATACCGTCGATACAAATCTATTCGAAGGTACAATCAGTATCCTGATGACGTCACTGATAGTAATCACAGGCCGAGTGCAGATGTTGGTGGCAGTGGCTATATTGACTACTTCAATCAAACTCCAATTCCTGTGCAAACCGGTTTCGATACATCGATGGCAGCCGATGATGAATTCATTGCCAGTGGGCAAAATCGGGGCGGCGATACTGAGCTGCTTACTTCTTAACCCAAAGCGTCCCCCCCCCATCGCTACTTCTTATTCTGTCAGCTCCTCTACAAACGTTATTTGAGTAAACAAATGGCACGTTTGCCAGGTCATTTAATGCAAATTGGGCTATTTTATTTGTCACTTTAGGAAATTAAATTAGATGTGTGGAATGTATATGTGAACACGATGCAATATATCCGACCGTAAAGTATGAAAGAGGTTATTGCACAGCCTTTGTGTCGGTGCACAAATAAAGAAACAGCCACAAGAAGACAAAATAGTAATGAAAATGGGCCATGGAGGAGAAGAGAACACAGTGTGAAGTGCACAAGGAAAAAAACCTAGGCAAAAAGATTGCTGGGTAGTTGATCGATCTGAAATTGTTCCTGCTTCTGAGTGCCACTTTGTATGAAGATCAGACGGATACGAAGCCGTAATTGTTGCTAACGGATAAAAAGAGTTAGATTACCTCACGATCCACAGATAAAAAGTTTTTCCCTAAAAGAAAAATCTATCTTGAGAGGAAGTTGCCATAAATGATTTAAAATGTCTAGTAAGGCAGTTGCAATAATGCAGATTATTGCCTGTTCAGCGGATTATTTTCCCCCAACACACCTTACTGATAAGCCGGTCGAATTCTAGTGCCAATGTAGCTAAAATAGGAAAGTTAAGAACTACAAGCCACCTCCTTCAGGATAGATCCCCATGAACTAGCAAGTAGTAGTGCCGATTACTTGAATGTTGCCGAGAAACAGACAAGCAAATATGTTTAAATTTTAAACATGCAAAGATGAACTCACTCGATTGGGATTGGAGACCTTGAAGACTTGTGTGACAGGTGGAATATCTGACGTTATTGGCAAGAGGCAAGTTGCTGAAGGTGGAAACATTTCCAGCTGGAAGGACTTCGGTACAGCAACCTGCATTTCAAAAGATTCAATTGGCAGGCTACCGGTGTTGTACGAAGATGCGCGAATCTGGACGCATGGCGGAACAGACGAGGCGAAACTGAGATCCAATGGATCATTTGAATGTTCGAATTCGAATACAATACGAATGCTATTCGCATTGTAAACAGTTAGTGGTGGCGCTAGTTGAGGGGCAACTTTAAACCCATTGACTGATGCACTTGCCGATTCACCTACACGGAAATAATTATTTATTGATTCTATCTGGCAACGGCATTCGGGATTAACGGTGCTTACTAAGAAGTCGAGATTCCGAAAATAAATTCGATGAAAGAACAGAAGATGAAGGGTTTAAATTCTGAGGAGCCGGTGGTGTCGGATCATTGCCCATTATCATATCAAGAATATCTTTAGTATGATCAGAACCTGCGGAATGGCCATGATCTAAAATAGCATCATTAGATTATATAGAGAGATAAAATTTACAGTAGCTCACCAGTTTGAGCAAAGTTAAACACTGGAGCAGTTGCGTCACCAAGCAGGTCCAACAAGTTATCGGTATCGTTCTTCTGGGTGGCTTCATTACCGGAAGTATTTAGGAGAGAATCGTTGTGTTGATCTTCTTGTGTTTCCCCGACCGAATCATCTTCACCGTTGTCACCTTCTGAGAGAAAATTTCTCGAGGGAGCAAAGACAGGCATGCAAGCAAAAAGACCCTCACGAAAGCCCACTGGACGCTTCTTAAAGATAGTATAGTACTCAACTGAACGCTGCTGAAGTTCTAGATTCATGCTGGTGGAATAAAGCTGCACAAGAGATTTCATACGCCTGAATAAATTCATAAACACATAAAGGGGAGGGTAAAGGTAAGAGGAAGTACACAAAAGAAATGCTTACTCAGAATGGGTAGGTCCCAAACGGACACTGAGTTTCATGACGGTAGATATAATCATCTCTTTAGTAGGTAAATTGCACACCGGAGAGGTGAGGGCCTCGGCAAATAGATCAATGATATCTGATTCTGTAATTTTGGACCGTCCATCATTTTCTTGAAGTAACAAATTTCCGTATTCACCTGTGCACCATGTCGCCACCTGCCAAATTAAATAACACTAAACAGTGACGATTTGTTGACTTCAAGGTCACTTCAACTCAGATAATTAACTTTGATGTCCGTTATAGTTACCCATTGCAGTGATTTGTAGGGGAGTTCAATTCTCATCTCCATTATAAAATGCAATGACTAAAAACATGGCTCAATGATTTACTTCTTTACCCTTTATGGTAACTACAGTGAACACTAAACTATCTACACTTACTGAAATGCCAAACATGTTCCAGAGAAGACGGCATTTAAGGATATCTCAAATAATTTTCCTCTTATCGTCACAGTAAATTTACAACAATACGAATGACCTTTGTATATAGTCAAAAATCCCAGCAGAACTAGTTATATGAAATATTAAGGTTATATTTCAGTACGTGTCAATTAGAAAATTAAATCAAGACAAAACCTTTGGCATGGGACTTTCAGATTTTAGACCCATTTTACACTTCCAGGTAAAAGGCGATTGTAAGTAAGACTGTTGTGTCAAAATAAAAGATAGTTGATTATATGAAACTTAAAAGTGGCAAGTCTATTTTCAGATTTACAACCGGGAAAATTAAAATTCAATCTTGACCATTTAATGTAGTGTATAATTTGAGATTTACGGAGTCTATATTGATAGTTGTAGTGGAGTTCAGAGAGATTAGCAATAGTTTGCATGAAACACTCATCAGACATTCCTGTTTAAGAAATCTAGTCCAATTGGCTTAGACTAATTGCAATATAAGTTCAAGACGAAGATTTGTCATATTCATCGATAAAAATATGCGTACCTACGTATTTGAGCAAATGTTATTCAAACATATTGAGTACGATCTTGGATGAAATTAATTAACTAACCGGTTTAAGCAATTATCTCTTCTAAAATTGGTATCATATTAGATTCTTGCTTTTCTCTATTAGAATCATGAATGTGAGTCCTTATTCGTGGAAGTAGTAAAAGTGTAAATTTATTTTAAAATCGAAAACAGTTTGAATTGAACTAAAAGTAATACAAATGGAGAAACTAATAGTTAGATTATGTAAAACAAAAACAAATTACAAGACCGACTATTACTAATTACTCCATTTTCAGAGCAAAGAAGTATAGTCAACACGAAAAATTGCTGAGACCATGTAACGTGTAACTCAAATAATCAAATTGCTTCCAGTATCTGATGACTTTTATTGATAATATAAGGTAAAAAGGAAGATTCTAATAGTTTGATAATGAATTTCAATCAATCCTAGAAGTCGAATTTCGTATTCGCAAAACAAGAAAATTCATTTATTCCAACAGACAAATGTTTGCTATCATGATCATTCCATACCTGAACTAGAGGTTGTTGGGTAAGATCTGCTTGCATGGATCTGAATAACTGAGTAACGGCATATCCATGGAGTTCGGGAGATTGGGAGATCAGATAGACCATGGAGGCTACAACGTCATCACGAGCTCGATTTCCTGCCTATGAGTGAATAACATGGACACTGCAAAAACGGGGAATAACTACACAGTTTGCAAAGATTTAACCTTACCAGCTTCAAAACATTGAGGGTGGTATCAACACGCCAGAGCTTGTTCGGTGAGTACTTTTCAACGGCTGTAATAATCTTAGAGCACACATCCGACTTGAATTCTACATCGCAGTTCTCCAGAAACCACAACAAATCCTTCATCACCGTCTTCACATTCGATGCATTGATCAGAACGCAACACAGATCTAACGCACGGCTATAGATATAAAAAAATTCGCATTATTTACCATTTTCTTTATAATGATGGACAAATAAACAGTCCCATTAAAATGAAATCGTTTCTTAGCTAGCTTAACAACTATCCTTTCCCCAGTTACATACCCATTTACAGCGTATAATTCATCCCTCAAACTCAATTTACTGATCTATTCAAATTATGCTATTATTGAATATTCGGCTATATTTTACTCCAGTTTCTGGCCTAAAAATAAAAGAGATGACACTTCCGCAATACACCCACAATCTCCGTACTTTTAATTTTTATGGTTAAGTTTGAAATTTTTGATGGGCAGCACCAGCCTCGCCACTTCACTATACGTCAACAAAAGAACATCTTATTAGAGATCCCATCATATTGAAAAGTCGACCAGCGATGAAAGCTGCGAAGAATCGAATCTGGCCCAACTCAGACATCGCCTTTGGTATTAGTGATAATATTTTGATAGCATTCAACTCTACTTATCCAAGAGAAAAACACGTACTGTTGAATGGAGGTATCTGGGTCTTTTAGACATTCCAGAATGGTTGCCCTATGACGCTGTACAGCACGCTGATCTACACCGACAACACGAAGTAAGGTATTTAATGAAACGTAGCGAATATTCTTGTCCGTGTTCAGAAGAAAACGACCCAGGATGTTGATTGCTAGCACCTGAAAAACAATGCATTAATAACAATAACAGAGAGCTATTGTGTAAGCGACAATGGCCTACCCGAAGACCGGGATCAGAATCGATGCCCATGATAGTAAGGACAATTTCGTAGAGAATTGCATGGCCTACGTTTTTTGCAGTTTCTGTGCTCGTTGCAACTTGCGCTAGAATATCATTCATAGCTTCACTGGCTGCCTTGTCTCCTTTACCAAGGATATGCATCAGGCGGAGAATTTTTACCTTCGAAAAAAAAACAAACAGCAGGAAACTACATGAACGTTCGCCGCTTTACTTTCAAAGCGTACGATGTATTTGTAATAAAATTTGCTATTACCATTAAGTAACCATGTTAAATCCAACGAAAATTATAATACTTGAAGCAATAGATAAATTTCGTTTATGTACCTGTAGGAATGGGTCGTTGATTTTATTTACTTCATGATCAGGCGAGTAGCCAGTAGTAACGAGGGTTTTTAGAGTTCGCACCAAAGTCGGAACCATTTGCTGAAAAGCAAGTATAAAACTATTTAAAACAGAGATCCTTAACAAGTAATGAGAAAATAGAACGCACCTTTCGGAAGTACTTCAAAGTATCTGGACTTCGATCGCACATTTCAGTAATGAGGCAGACAGCAGTCAAAAGAACTCCATTATTCTTCTCGCTTAGTAGAGCTCGAGCACACGGAATAAATATCTCCATCAATTCGGGGACTTTACGAACTATGCGAAATGCACAGAGTGCAGCCTGTTTGTACATAAATGCATTAGCAAAGGCATGAAATAGACGCATATTTAATGTCCTGGAAGCGAGAAAGTACCTTCTTTTTAATATAGGGATTGGGAGATTTAACTAATCGTTCAACTTCACCAGCCAAATCTCTACTCATTTCAGTAGAACAAATCGACCCTAAAGTGCAGAGTGCTAAGCTGGTGACGTAAACATTCGAATGATTGAGATCACTGGATAAAAAAGAGGAGTAATAAAACATGAGAATGAAACGAAATTCATAAAAAAACAAACTTTTTAAGAGAATTTGTGACCAAGAGATGCACGTCTGATCGTTCATCTAGAAGGAGCATTGCTCCAAGGTATCCTACTCTCTTGTCGGTAAATCGAGGAGAAGCGATAAGTTTCAAGCATTCCATCTAAGAGATAATAATAGAACTCAAATAGAAGAAATTATTTAATCAAACAAATGTGAAAACTCGAGGAAAGATACGTAAAAAAACAAAATAGCCAAAAAGCTAATGGGAGATAGATTCATACTTGACCGAAGTGAGCTGGGTAACCCAGCATATGAATATAAAGCAGTTTTGCGACATTTCGACAACGATATGTGTCATTTTCCTCACGAAAACAATCCCGAATTTGAGCGCATTCTCGATTAACAATAGCTCGTTCTTCGGCTGCGGTGCGTGCCGAACGAATATCACGAACCAAATCACGAAGGCTTTTTGACTTAGGCATTAGTCTAAAATTTGAATCGTTAGTAAAAATGACTTGAATCATTTCAATAGGTTATAAATTAATCAAGGAAGTTAAACTCCATTACATTGTTATATAATCATTTTAAAGCACAAATATTAAAATTTAAAGCAAAATTGACAATAAAAAATATCAAAAAGCTGCCAAAACTTAATATAACAAACAAGTCAACGACACTAAGATGGCTGACAGAGAAGTTCCGATTTACTTAACCAATTAGCGATTTAAGCTATGCAAGTCTAAGTAAAAATATTTGAATAAGTGCAGTTAATAGTCAACTAAGATAAAAACCTTTTCTGCATTCAGTGTAAGCAATTCAGTGTGATATTACTTAAAAACTAACTTGCAGCAATATTTAATACTATGAACATACATTTGAGGGTTCTCTATGCACCACATGAATATATAAAATGCGATATCGCATGTCCATATATATATATATATATATATATATATATAATCTGAAGTATATAGTTCGGAATAATATTCAAAAGCCTATTTTCATTACAAAATCGGGTCGGATTTTGATTTCATTACTTGTTTCTAAGAGGATAAAATTAGCATAGCATAGATGTTAATATAATGCGAATTCAATAAATTTTAGGTAAACACAAAATAAAGGAAATTAAAAAATATCTGCCAGTAAATAGAGAATGCACAAACCGCCCGTGAAGTTCCGCGAAAGCCTACTTAAATTAATAATTTCTTAATAGCTAATATAAGGTACGAATATTTCTGAGATCAGCTTTTATTTAATAAACGATATGTTGAAACTATTCGAAAGTATTACCAATATTTCGTCAAGAAAAAGCGCTAGAAGTAGAATCTCTTGGGAGCCAAATTGACATGAATTTCCATATTGTTGCTCTCCAAAAAATGAATTTTTCAAGGTAATTTAAATATAAAAGAAAAACGTATAAATTTTCTCACATGTGATTAAAATAACGTAATCTTTTGTTAAAGCCTCCAATATTTAAGTTAATTATCAATAATCTCGCCTTTTATATCTTTGAAAGCATGCACATACATTATAAACAAATGAACCGTAATTGAATTTCTCTGTTCCCTTTGCGGTCGTATCGTTTTTAAACGGGGTAACTTTAGAAGCTGTCAATGTGTTAAGTTTTAATATTTTGTTTATTTCGTAGAAATTAAAATGGCCAGAGTTTTCAGTAAATATCTCAAGGTGCTATTTAGTGGAGCAGTATTCGCCGTTACTGCGTCCGGTATTTATACAGGAGTAGATCGTTTTGGCTCAATTCATGCTTTTGCGACCTCCACTTCAAAAGACTTCTCCGCATTTAATTTTAAACAGTGGGATTATAATTGGGATAAGCGAAAGTTTTTAAGTTCAGAAAATTCCTCCTCTTCATTAGAAAAACCAAAGGCATGCCGTCATATTATTCTTGTTCGTCACGGACAATACCATTATTTTGACGATGACGCAAAATGCCAACTTACCAGTCTTGGTAGAAATCAATTGGAGCTTACTGGCCGTCGACTTAGCCAGTTAAATTTTCCATACTCTCGTATAGTTTATTCAACTATGACTCGAGCTATCGAATCTGCAGATGAAATTATAAAACATCTCCCCGGTGTCCCCGCTATTCCTTGTGATCTTATTCGAGAAGGGGCTCCTGTTCCTCCAGAGCCTCCTGTTCAGAATTGGCCTCCCGAGGGTCCAAAAGCATATGAAGAAGATGGGCCACGTATTGAGGCTGCTTTCCAGAAGTACTTCCATCGAGCCGATCCGTCGCAAACGGAGGATTCGTATGAAGTATTTGTGTGTCATGGCAATGTTATTCGCTATTTCGTTTGTCGGGCTCTTCAGTTGCCTCCTGAGGCGTGGATTCGAGTTTCTTTAGATCATGGAAGTCTCACCTGGCTCGTCATCCGCCCATCGGGTACCGTTTCACTTCGTTGGCTTGGGAATTCTGGTCATATGCCTCCCGACAAACTTAGTCTCAGCTAATGACTTTTGCATTAAGCCTTATCACTTTAATTATTGCCTAAATACTCTTGTGCGTTTTCTATTCGTGCCTATCATTTTGTCTTTTCTTAATGGGGCCAAATTATCACTATTTTACGTTTTCCAGCGTGTATTTATTCGTACCTAAAAATTTACATGGAAATTTCTCTTGGGATTGTGGATTATATGCCCTATTTTTACCTGAACAGTTGAGCATTTCATATTTGATAACGGGCATTTGTCTATTGCAAGCTTAGTAATGACGGAATTTGGGAAAACCGATCTGATACGGACTTGTGTCATTCCGACCCAAAAGATATAACGTACAACCAAGTATACATATTGTAAAAAGCTGGTCAAAAATATGAGTCGTTAGGCGAAATATACTAAATCAACGGTAACAAGTATCTACAGTTAAAGTTCTTAAAAATTTCATCAACCAGGACCAAAAAGAGGTGTGTTACTAGTCGCTATATTATTAAACATTAAACAAGCTATTTATCGGATATTGCGTTTGGCGATTTGGGATTTTCCGAACAGGCAATTTTGGCAACATTACGCCTAGAATCGCAGAATTTGTTAAAAGTTTCCCATGGAGTTTTGAAATCGAATTTACGGTACTCTTGAGCCAACTCGATTGGCTCAATGACAACACGCTTCAATTCTTCATCATAGCGCATCTAGGAAACCAAAAAGAAAAAAACTATCACAAACAAAAGTGAGCCAATATATGCCAGATTTAATCCCATTAGCTCACTTCGGTGTAACCAGTTAGAGGAAAATCCTTACGCTGAGGATGACCCCGGAAACCATAATCAGTGAGGATACGCCGCAGATCTGGGTGATCAGAGAACAAGACTCCATACATATCCCACACTTCCCTTTCATACCAATTTGCAGATTGATACAAAGCGCTTAGAGAGTTTATAGGAGTGAGGTCGTCAGTATAGGTACGGACACGAGCCCTGCAATTATATCTCAGTGAGAGAAGGTTGTACACAACTTCAAAGCGATAAACTCTTGACGGCACATCGACCGCAGTAATGTCCACTAACGATGCGAATTGTGCGTTCTGATTATTACGCAAGAATGACATAACGGGAAGAACTCCATCTGGATGAATACAGATATCAAGCTCTTTCAAATGACTGACTTCCACTTTCTGGACATATTTTGGTAAACATTCGGCAACGTACTTGCCGAATTTAGACAGCTTTCCAGTGAAAGGATCTAAAGTAAAAATAATTAATTTCAAGTATTTTACCTGCTGATGAGCAATCAGAAAATAACCTCGAAGCAGACTTTGAAAAGCTCAAACTAGAACCACGATTTGCGATAGCTAAATTGCCTAAAACGTAAGAAAAGCTACATACCTAAAAGAGAAGGAAGGGGAAAACGTAATGACTTATTCATCATTGGAAAATTAAATAAGCCTGCTTGTGAAATGGCTATGTAAAACGTGAATGATAAAAATTATAACAGTTATGTGTTTACAATATAACGGTATAAAATACATAATTTTTAATATAATTAATTATAAGAAAACCAAAAACAAATTATGTTTCCTTTATTTAAAATTCTAAAAATATTATAGTTTGAACGGTAGCATTTAATTATTGCTTTTTAAAATATGTGCTATAGAATATAAAACTTCTTCTTTTATTTTATATCGAAAATAATTCAGCCTTTTCGGTTTGTGGTAGCCTCCCTCCACATAACCAACACTGACGTTAGTAATTTTACAGCCAAAATGCTGCTGGATAATGATATCGTAAGAAGAAATATTAGTCATCTATAGATTAATAGTTTTTGTCTAAACTTACGCAGCTTTTCTTGGAATCAAAGTCGGGCAAATCTCTATATATTACAATGAAGCGTCGTAAGTGTCTTTTTATATTCTTGCATTGTTTAATCAAATTGGATGTGGGCTTTATTGATTGTATTGTAGATGATGGCCGAACAAAGCCTCTTCCTAAATTAAAGGAATTACGCCCATCTTCTGGTGAACACTGCTGTCTTTTGCGTGCCGTTTTGGGAAATAAAAAAATAAGCACAATTGTGAGTTGATATTTCCCTTTGAATTTTGTGCCCTTTATTTACCTCAACTTTTCTGCTTTGTCCGTTTATTGAACAGAACTTAGGATTGTTCTGCTCATCTGTGTTTTAGATGCGTGTGTTTAAGTCCGTAAAATACTTCTTAATGTCTAGACTAATTTGGAGATTTTGTTCTCCTTATTTTTTCTTTGGAATCTCAAGCATAGTTTTCCTAATTTTGAATTATGCATGAGAAAATAAGCTGTACACTGCCATTTTTGCCAACTTGTTATCTTAACCGAGGTTTCGCTAACTGTTAATTAATTGAATTTTCACCAATGAACACTGAACGTTTGAGCCTTAATGAATATGACGTGCATATTTGCCAATTTCGATGCACACTACTTTAAAATGCCTAATTTTTTTAAAGGTTTATCAAAAGGATATGAACAAATTCCACCAGGCATACTCAACTGTGATTAGAGGTAATATGGACGGTTTAAAGAAGAGGGATCGACGCTCAGCTGCTACTCTACAAGTTCCCCAATCATCAGCTCGTAACAGGCCCTCTGCTCCCTCAACTAATGCTCCCTAATTTATTCCCGAATATCTGTTTAAAAGTCTTTATGGGTTGGTAATACATGATTTGCTAAAATTTGTCTTCAACCTTATGTGCGACCTTTATTTCAAATGAAAGCGTCAAGATAAATTTGAAGAAACAAGTATTTTTTATTCAAATTTTTTTGCATATAGTGTTAAGTTGATATTCACCCATTATGCTCATTTCTATTTTTATTTGTAACGGTAAAATTTCCTTCTATTTCATAATTTTCCATTAAGCTTCACTTGTGCTTTCGTCTTAAAAAGCTAATTTCTCCTTACTATATTTCATCCACCATGTTTTATTTAGTCTATTTTTTTCTTTGCGGTGCCATTTTGTCTATTTTTCCTCGTATACTGAAATCTAACGCCATAGAGAACGTACGAAATATTATTTTAAACTCAGCACTTTTTTTCAATAAATAGAAAGTGCATAAAGCCAAGTGCATTGAATTGCGGTGGTCTTAGTGCGTTTCAGGAGAGAAAATTTAATATAGGATTATGAAAGGATTATCGTGGTTTGTGCCACCGGTTTTTGAGCAAAAGGTAATGTAAACTAAGAAGTGAATTGGCTATTTCATGGAGATATAATAACCGTAGCTGAAAAATGCTTAAACGCATACGACCACGCGACTATGATTCGGAGGTGAAAATAAGCAACACCGAAGGCTAAAACAACTAAATCTTCAGGAAGATGGTTGCCGTTAATTGTTCATTTATGCGAATGTTAAGTACCCAACCACTTTCTGTGAAACGGTACTTAAATACATTGACTCATTCAGTGGGTATGTTTGCGTATATTAAAATGGGCTTGAAAATGAAGTGTGTAGTGAAACAACGCTACTGAGGAAAGTTAAATGAGTTCCATTCGTTCTGCAAAATTATGGTTATGAGAGTGGAGTCCTTTTAGCCAATCAGCAATCGAATTTGATCGGCGACTATTATGTTTGATTTCGAGGTGAACGTTGTTGAAAGTTTCCCACTTGCGCTGTCATAAGCATTCTTCGCTCCATAAGTTTTGTTTCCCCAATAATTTTAAGGTGGCTAGACTGACTTCGGGAGATAATTAATGAGGGAAAATCTTGACAAGCTAATTCGTGTTGTAATCGCCATAGATAGGAACGTATACGTTTACGAAAGACAGTCATGAATCCCATGGCTAAGCGAATAAATCTACAAATTTTAACTAAACCACGATTTGAGCTATTTACTTAATAATAATTCAATTTGAATATGAATATATACTTACTGACTAGCACACAAGTAACCTATTCTGGTCAAAATAACGTTAGTTACGCACTTACTGAGTGTAGTGCGTTCTGGTGGTCCAACATTCCCTCATAAGAATCAAAGTCTTGTAAAGAACGTCAAAATGATTTTTCAAATGATAAAAGCAGATATACCGAGCTTCAAATCAACGCAATAATAAAAAGGTCGTTAGGTTAGGAGCCCGCAACAAGGGGAGTGAATTGGAAAGGTGCTAATAAAACGAATTCTCTAGCGCCAACAGTGAAGAGAATAATATCACATTACATTCGTAGCACATGACAACCAACACGTCAATCACAGGTAGGCCAGCAATAAAATACTTCTACACTCTAAATAGCAAACGGCAGAAATTCCATCAGAACAAGTAGCCTAAAACTGTACCTCAAAACTTAAAACGTGCAAAAAGCGTACACTTTTAGCGAACATCCCAAACGAGGTAATCCACCTAATAATAACTCATTAATAACAATACAAAACCATCCCGAGCATGATCGCCATTGCTTCCTAAAGCTCATAAAAACTATGAAAAAAATATATACGCATTATTCGACATCATACTAGTATTGATGTTTACCCACTTTTGAGTAAAGCGGTAAATGAATCACACACTAAGAAAATAAAGCAAAACAAGATAAACGATCCCAAAAGTGAGACATTAAAAATCGAAACATAAAATTATATTATCACGCCGACCACTCCAAAAAAATATGTACAGTGGAGTGGGCAAATGATAAAGGAATGCTCTTCAGAAACCCAAGTAGATAGATGAGGAAGTTGAATCATTGACACAAGGTCTAGTCTCGGTGCGAACGACTTGTCCGTCCACGGTTTCAGTGATTGTTTCCATATTATTCTCGCGTACAGTTGTGGTATTGACGACACGACCGTTAACGATACGCGTTGAAGAGGACATTGACCGCCCCATTCCACCTCCGAATCCGCCACCACTGCTAAAAGATGAAATAGAAGAAAATCCACCCGTGCCACCAAATCCTCCAAGCATATCGTCAAACACGCTACTAAACATTCCACCGCCAAATCCCATGCCAGAAAACATGTCAAAGCTATCAGCTGGGCGTGCCGTGTGCCTGCGATTTTGTTCATAAGGATTATGTCGACGATGAACACGAGTTCTGTGGCTATGAGAGTTTCCATGAGAAAATGGAGATCCAAGGATATCGAAAATTGAAGATCCGAACACTTGAGCGAATATCTCAAAGGGATCGTGAAAGTGGAAAACATCGTCAAAACCACTGAAATCACTAGGACCAGGGACACCAGATGACAAGCCTTCTTTTCCATTGAGATCATATATTTGTCGTTTTCGAGGATCAGAAAGAACTTCGTAGGCTTCACTCACAAGTTTGAATCGCTTTTCAGCCTCTTCTTTGTTATCTGGGTTTTTATCAGGGTGCCATTTTAACGCTAATCTGCGGTAAGACTTTTTTATTGCATCTCCATCTGCGGAACGATCAACTTCAAGTATGGCATAGTAGTCAACTTCCTCCATGTGTTGAAAAAAAGAAAGTTCTAGACAAAACAAAAGTTAAGAGAGCAAAACCTGCACCAATTGCGGCTCTTTAAATGAAAATTAAAACAATAAATTCAGTGCTACTTAAATTAAATTAAACCGCTGATAGAAAAAATATAATTTAATATTATGGTTTTAAAAATTTTCTTATTTAAAATGAAATAAATAAATGCATACCAAGTGTACCTTATTCTCATGGAGATTGAAGCAAAAAGCATAACATTTGACACAATTGTTGTGAAAATTTTCATTGTCAAATATTTATATCCTATCGACTTTCACAATTTTTGATTTCCTAATTATAGTTGGTTATTACTCCTAACCCCTAACATTTAAAATCATCTTATTGCTTTTCTACCATTGCAAAAAGCATTAAAATTTCCCGTTTTGTAGTTATATGCATAAAGACGTTTGTGAATCTTTTGTATAAAAAGAGACGCAAATAGGGAAAAATTCGAAAATTGTTTTGCAAAATATTTCTATTTGGTGCCCTATGTTAGGCACATAAGCTTTGATTGAACCTCGGTTATCTCTATTTCAATGTCCTTCAGTATAAAAGTGCTTTCAAACTTATTAAATATGGCCCAAAAATATCATTCAAAATCTTAATTGCTATTTTACGGTTGTGTCACTGACACGGATCCTAGCCATAAGAGTATAATTTTGGCTACTCTGGTCAAGCCGTGAATAGTGGCTGTTGATTGGCACTAATGCTGAATACAGAATGAAACCATTTGAAAATCTAAAGCATACGTTCTCCGCATTACCGCATTATCATATATAATTCCCGACGTGTTCCTTATTAGCCCCTGTAATATTTGTAAATGTTTATGCCAATTTTCAAAATTGTTTATTGTTCCAATTTCAAACTTTCTTCCTACTATTTTTAGATTTCTGATATGATACAGAGCGAGCATATGTGTAACTATACTTCATCAATTTAAGATTAGCATAAATATCCGATTCTTATAATTGTTTTATTTTTATGTTTTAAAGTATATGAATGTTCGCACATATTAAAACATTTTGCGATTCCTCCCCCGAGTCAGTTTGAATGGATGAACGTTGTGTGAAGTTGATCCGTACCTAATGCTCAACATAGTTAAGGGTAAAAATAGTGGGTACCACCGGATGTTTTAAATGAAGTTCGTAAATTACTAAACTGTTAAGTTAAAGTATTTAAAAGAAATATTCTTATAATTTTCAAAACGTTTACTCCAACTGCGAAGGAATTGATCAGACACTTTTTACCAATTGAAAGCGAATCAGATTCGGATTGGAGATGTGCTTATTCAAATGAAATAGAAACTATTTCTATCCTCTGATACTAGTTAACTAGCACTCAAAGCGCGAATTTTACTATTCTTCCTACCCATGTGAGATAAGATTGCAAGCTTATGTACTTAAGTATTTTGTTCTGTCAATTCGCAGTTACACCTTGTAGCGGATTGCTATACTAATAGAGCCTTGACAAACTCAGAAATCCCTGTGGCTGAATCTCCCATATCTGACTAGACTCCCAGAACTAACTTAGCTATAGCCCAGCAATAGAGAAAATAGACATATCTCACGGAATACGTTTATTTGATGTACATTATTATTATAGCTATTTCTGTTAATGAAGTAGCCTTTATTCTTCAAGGTACAATTATCTTAATCTCAGATCCATTTATTTTAAAATACTCTTAGTGCAATTTAAAGTTTGATGTAAAAGGAGTTATGGCATTGTCAAATTAATAAGAACTTGCTTATAAGGTTACTTTATTTAACTTAGAGAAAGCGTTCAATATCTGAATCATGCCCGTTGATGAAACACATACCCATGGTAATAGTATAATGTTTCATTATTTATAACGGGTAGTGTATCATCTCTTTTCCCATCGCCTTTGATTCAATGGTTATCAGATTACAAACAAACTTATTATTCTGCTGTGTATCTTAAATTAAGTTTTAAGTCTTCCATTCACGTGGTATGCTACTTTTAATAATTTAAATTCAGATTAAAACGTTTTGATTAACGAATTTATTTATTCTTTTGCTAAAGGCAAATTAAGTGGCTATATTCTCATTTCAGCTCAGAATCGGCGCTCTCAATCAATAATCTATTTTGGGTTATTAACTTACTATTTTAATTCTCGAAAATATTTCAGAGTTCCGCATGATATTTTGATCGATTAAAACTTGATCACCGTTTTATACTTAAGGAACAACATTGAGACGCTGGGCTTCTCTAGTAATTTTTTTCTTTAGACTTAATTTTGTTAGGCTAGTAGTGAAATATCTATCGCAACTAACACTAGTCATCCAGCCAGACAGCCATTCATCCTTTATACTGTATTATATGAGTAGCCTTATTTTTTAAATCGTGAACCGTCGTTTGAACGGCAAGCTTTCTACCTTCCCTTCTCGGAGTCCGAGCAGCCTAAGCTCTATCAAGTGATCAATTCAACAAGTTATAAAAGCTGTGGTAACAACCTCTCGAATAAAATTAAGCCCCTCAATGGTGCTTTATTATAATGATTGTTTCACTAGTGTGCACAGAAAGTGAAATAGATTCCATTTAAACACTCAGTTAATATCAAGCATTCAAATATTCATTTGATTCATTGAAATAACATGGACTGATTTCTTTGCTACTAACAGTAACCAGTGTTCTTCGGATATCCCCGATCCATTCAAAGAAGAACATATCTTCTGATTCTGATTAAACGCTAGTTTTAACTTTAAAAACGGTCTAACTGTTATGACTGCACTATTGGAACCCTCATATTTTTCTTGTTAATTAGAAATTGTTCCAATGTACATATACCGCCTCCCCCCTCATTCATATGGTAATCTGCAGTTATTAGAGGTGAAGAGGCTAGCCTGATTTTGAGACCAGTCCAAATTTATTGTTAGTATTTGGTTCCAATTTATGCACAAGAACAAGGTTCGGAGGATTGAGATTGACAGAGGAAGATTGAAATATTCTTTGAAATTCTATGTCTGACTGTCGCAGGAAATCAAGAGCGGTGATTGGTCGCTTTAGCCAAAATAATTTTCTTTGTTAAGCCAGAAATAACTAAACGAGTGTATTAGTCTGAAATGCGTTCTTTATTTCGGAAGGCCAATGAAAGTTCTATCACCAATGAATGTCGCACTTTCGCTAACTTCGAATTTATATTTGTGCAGAAGGTATCCAAAGTCCATATTGAAATCCAATACTCCTTTAAATCACATAGAGAATAAGAGAATTTTCGATTAAATTAAAATTGAGTTGTACTTCTTCCTAAGAAACAGATTTTTTTGACACAAATTTTTTTGAAGAAATTTACTTTGTTTCCTTGTAAGCATTTATACTTAACTGCTAATGATACCAAACAACTACTTAGTACAAGGTAGTCAATGAATGATAATATTGTTTACTAAGTTGGTAGAACATTTACGAGTTTTAGATTATGTCATTAGCACTATTTATAAACAAAGATTGTGATGAATGGATTCTTTACAAGTAATTATCATCACCCACACTCTTATTTCCTCTAAACGGAGAAGGTGGCCACTTGTTTGCGATATAAATTGGACATTCTAAAATATAGATAAACTACTTCCACTTCCCATGAAATGTGCCTTGTTATAGATTTTATCAAGTTAGAGATATAACCTTAAACAAACGTCATTAAATTGGTATCACATTCAAATACTGGCAATGATTTTGTCAGCATTCGTTTCTTCAATTTGGGAATTTTGTAAAGTAAGACTTCTTCGGCACTTTGCTTCACCAGAAAGTCTATTTTCTGTCGCTATGATCAATACTTTCACAAGACATGTTTAGGCTGCCGTTGATTCAGAACCAAAGAATGAGATAAAGGAAAAGGGTACTTATTTCAAAGCAAATTATCAATCTAACAGGATCTAAATGTGAATAGTATAAAGCTTGAAGGTAAAACACCACAAACTGTTGGCAGTATGTTGTCCGACTAATTGTCAAGCCATCAGGAGTGGAATTCACTTATTTCTAATCTGATACATAACTTAATTTAAAAAGCATTAAGCAAAGTCGCACAGAAATATCTCAGGAACTAAACGTATTGTGAATTTCAACAAAGTTGGTAAAATTTGATGTCACCAATCGTCTTTTACATTATCCGAAATCCATTATTCCACTTGTTAAATAATTAGATGTTAGTAACATAATTTCCCAGTTGTCCTGATCTCTAATAAATTTTGCTTATTTTCTTTTTAGTACATTATTTCAATATTTTTATGTTATGCTTCTGTCAAATTATAAACTAGAACGCAACAAAATTTCACCTGATGTTTAATAACTCAGGATTTATGCGTTCTTTAAAGTATGCTGCTCTGTAGCGGATTGCTACGCTAGTAAAGCTGGACCGACTCAGAAATCTCTATGGCAGATTCTCCAACATCTAGCTAGACTCCCAGAACAAGCTAAGCTATAGTCCAGCTATAAGGGAAATAGACGTGTAGCACGGAATACGTTTATTCAGTACGTATATTGATAGCGAAGTGTTGTGTTGGCAAAGCGATTAGTTATCAGATAACTTTAACATAATTCGAGTGAACATTAATAGCTAAATATTTCTGAGTATTGTTCTATAGCAGGATTTCTATTTGGTCATTGATGATGTGTCCCACAGCTCTTTGTAGTTACGAGCTAGATAAAAACACGCCTGGTGTAGAAATAGGTTTGGCATCGTTTAGTGTATCCTAATTTTGGCTATCGATTTAAATGCCCTTTCCTCTTTTTGTATTTTTATCCTGTAGAGGAAAGATAGTCTGTATTTATCTTCCTTACGATATCTTATACAGATAATTAAGTCAGTGAGAAGAAAAAAGATGGTTCTCCTGTTTTAAGTTAAAAGATAACTCAAGTATCTTTCAGTTCACATTAATAATTATGAGGACTCCCAAACTGCATATGGGTCCACCTATCAAAATGACTGAACTTAT